GGCTCAACTACAGGTCTTGCCCTTCAGTTCGAGTTAACTGCGAAAATGGGATAATCAGTTCAACATGATTGTTGATCTGCTGTCGTTTGATTTCACTCAATCCTTTAGGTTGACCCCGTCTTAAAGACTCCGTCACGGTAGAGGTGTGCTAAGTTCTTGTATCTTTTATGTCGTTCGACAAACAGCCGTACAACAGTAATACATTCTTACAATGATCTAAAGCCAGTTAGTTATTTCCTGCAATAACTTTTAAGTCATTTACATCTGTGTGCGTCTGTGTCTGTGTGCATATATGTATAGACATACTAAACAAGAGTTATTGTTATGATCATCTATCCCAAGCTCCTCAATTCTTAGGGATCTTAACTTTTTGACCCAAAGTGAATCAGCATCGCGATTGCCCTCATGTCTCATAGTTGATTTGCCTTATGAACATAAGCCTCAAAAGCGTGACATTGCTTTAAACCAAACTCGATTATATTCGTCAGATTGCAGTCTTTTTGAAGTCGATTAATCAAGCATTAAATGTCTTTTATTGAATGTTTTGAAAGCCAATTTTTTCCTCTTCATGTATACGATGGCAACAGCCCACTTGAGTAATTAAACAGAGAAAGGGAAACTACTGTTAGGACGATGATAAAGTCTGAGGCCCTGATTACGTATTTGCTTATCCTTTTTTTGACAATAAACTGAATGCAAAAAGGATACCAAAAAAAGATGGGGTGAGAGGACTTCTTTGCATCCCGACTGAAGAGCTTGTCAACTTCAGGCAATCCTTGCACGGTATGAAGTTGCCTCTTGAGCAATGTCTAAATCTACAGGACCATCAGAGCCTCATTAATGGAATTGGTCTTTCCCAAAATTTCTGGTCCACCTGGGCAGTACTTTACTGGGAAGAAGAAATATTTGCGCCTTGAGCTGCAGATTTGGGCCGAAATCCATCTTTACGGTGTTGACGATTCGGTGTAACCACCGGCAGGATCCAGCCTTTGGAAGGCTCTAAATGGCAAGAATGGCGACTCTGGGCAAGTGAAAGCTTTCAGGAAGCAGTGGTTCAGGTGTTGTCGGGACGTTGTCGGTGAATAGGAGATCTTTGTCCCAACTCCCCAGTCCAGCCCAGTTGTCCCACAAGATAGGTGGGTAGACAGGAGAGGCGGCACTGTCGACTAAGGGTGAAACAAACCCATCAATCCCGAGTATGCCCTAGTGATAAGAGGTACACAAAAATGTTCGCCTATGGTAACCATTGTATATAAACTATGCAACATCTTCCCCTTGGCTCAGGCACACTCGGATTCAGTATTAATTACCCATCTCGGTTGTATGTGCACTATGCGAGTGTAAGAGAAGAAGAGTCGTCGAGACGAGCTGTCAGGCTGTACAACGGGGATACCGGCAAGGCGGTTAGATTGAAAGTTTGCCGGAGGGTTTAATTAAAAATCACGGTGCTGACTGAAATATAGCCATAAATGTGTTAACGATATAACAACCAAAGTTTTGATGGATAGATAAGAGATATAAGACGAAGACACAAACGCTCATAGTCACAACATCACTAAACACAGTCATTTCTCTATGTCATGGTTGAGGCTGCGATGATATCTCTTCAAGCATGCAGTTCTTTCTGTCCGTCTTATTTCCCGCATGTCTGCGGTAAAAGACTGCGCCTTTCTCTGTCTGTATGTCTACTTTTCATAATACGCTTAGGCATCCATCTATACATGTATGTATGGTTGGATGTCTCTCTGTATGACTGTCTGTAAGTAAGTATTTATGTATGTATTTAAGTATGTACGTATATATGTATGCACATAGGTATGTAGGTGTGGATTCATGTATGGATGCATGCTTGTATTTGAGCTTTTTTATGATTTTATATATGTTTGTATTCATGTTTTGCTTGTTTGTTTGCTTATTTGTTTGTTTGTCTGTATGTTTGTTTGTTTGATTGCCTAATTGTGTGTAGGTAGTTAGGTATGTTTGTCTAAAAGGAAAATGTATTCCAGTGCTATGCAAACGTATTGTTTGCCTTTATTTTAGATATCGGTAGTCGTTTTCCCTCTGTCAAGCAGCCAGTCTTAAGTAGAGCTAAGTAAGAAGATCAAGTAGTAGTAGCAGCTGTAAGCAGAAAGGTTGGAAGCCAAACAGCTATCGATTTGGCAATATGACTAGAAGTAAGCTAGCCAGTTTTATTTCTCTAAAGTTGTACAGAAAGTGGAAAGCCCGGTACTGATAAGTTATTATCCCTTGAAGTTTGATATTTACATACAAAGATTAATCTATTCATCATAGAATGGGATTAATAGGGAGAACTTTTCGACGGATACCTGACTTTCTGCCCGCCCATGCCACAGCCGTAATCCCACTACTATACTTAAAGTGTCTGGCCTCTGAGGGGCGAAAAAAATAACGGTAACTTTCATCTCGCCCTGCCTCCAGAACGCCTGTTCCCTTCGGGGGCTATATTACATTTTCGGCCTCGCCTCGGCTTCATCCTCGTCCCCGGGGGGACTAGAGCCCCGGAAAGATGGGTCAAGAGGCCAACACACTAATCCCATTGCCGACTGGTAGAAACAAAAAATTCCTTATTAACCCCCAAAATATCGATCGAGTTTGACATATTGTGGTCGAGGCAAAGTCTCAACTCTATCGTTCTCTGTGTGGTGGTGTGGGAAGCCTCAGATCGAAAGTGTACAAACAACTCTGGTTCGGGGGGCCGGAGGAGCCCTGCGACGTCGGCCCGATCAGTGGAGGATAATTCTTTTGTCCCAAAAGGGTCCAGTGAGCCAGGAGTCAGCCTAACCACTCGTATCATCTTGACAAACGGCCTAGGGTGAATATGGCTCTTATTCAAGGTCTACCATTACTTTCGAAGGCTACTTAAAACGAATATAAGTAGTCTAGTCTATTGTAATTTCAAATACAAGTTGGTTTCATCAACAATCCCACCACACATTGTGATTTAAAGGAAACATGACCTTCTATGAAATTTCCATCCTCGAGCGTAAGAATTCTGTTGGCAGGCCTATACTTGCATGTCAAATGACACCAAAAAAACACCACACCACACCACACCAAACACAACACCAAATTGTAAAATCCTCGAGTCACATTCGAATCGGGCTTGTCAGTCATTGGCCGAGCTACTGTCGCTTTCCTGTCTCTTGGTCTCCCTCCATACACACACACACGCACACACACATACACCTGTGGGCGTACTACTTAAATCGTTTGTTTGTATATATCCTCCCTTCCATTATTTTCTAATTGCTTTCTACCTCTATTTATCTCTCTCCCGTCGCACAAAGCTAACATAGCCTCCACCATTGTGGTCTTGTTGCCAACTCCCCCCCCCCAGACCTGTTCTATAGGCTTCGTTTGAAGCCAAGGTGATGAGATCATCAAAGACGAGAAAGGAATTCTTTTCAACTACACACGACAGCCTGGTCTGCACATGACGAACTTTTCTTTTTCGTTTGTTTTTTCCTTCTTTTGAACTGGCAAACTTCTCCAGCAGGCAAACTCCGACCTCTCTTTGTTATGGGTCAGTTTCCTCTATATTTTCATACACGAACGCCCCTTTATATAGACACACTCGAACTGGGAATACTCGTAATGAATGGGGTTATCCCATTCTCCAAGTAGGCGTGTGCACCACAATCTTGCCTCCGTCAAGACCCTTTGCTCGCCCCAACTCAGGTTGCAAAGGCTATACAAAGTTAGGCTGTGGTCAGGCTTCTTCTCTACGGCTGGTGTTGTCAACGTGTCTTAAGCAAATCATTTTCCGAAAAGCAGTTTGCTACATTTCTTCCGCTTTCTTAAATTATCTCTACTTCTATGCATGCCTTCGCTGCCTCGAACACACACACACACACACACGTGCATAAAAGTGTTCTCGTCTGTACCTGCATAGATTCGTGTGTATTCTCTTATTACTGGCGTTCCAGTCAACTCAATCTCGTCTAAATTAAGAAGACTTCCAAGAGCAGATCCCCACTGTCCAGGATTCTTTTGTTTCCATTGTGTCCTCCCGAGCATATCGAGTCGTCTGTCGGAGACATTGAGGAAGCTAAACAAAAAATTCTATCACTGGAGGCGGGAGCAGCTGCCTCCGAGACTGACAGAGAGAGACGCCCAGAAAGCAAGCTAGAAAAAGTAGTGTTCTTTCAGACTAATGAGCATAGGAGCAGTCATTTTAGCGAAGCGGGGCACCGAAGGGCAGACAGCGAAGTCTGTACGGATTCGGGCGGACAGGACGTCAATGGGGCAGGTAGCAAGCCGACTCTAATCCCTCCCTTTTGGTGGACGGACGGCCAGTCGGCCGTCTGGAAACACAGTTGAGACCTTGCTTGCACAAAGGTTGGCGCGGTCGTGGGCACCCGAACTATTTGGCGATTGATAGATCGGGAACTGGTCGGTAGCGAATAGTTGGCCCAACACGCCAGAGGACAGACTTGATACAAGCGAACAGGTCTGTTTGAGTAGGATCCAACTGGACGTTAAAAGGTTGTTGGACTTTGTAAACGTTACCTTTTTGGGACATTACAGATCGGTGCTAGAAGAAGCGCTGTTTACCAGGCAACGGAGCAAAATCCAATATGGGCGGAAGAAGATAGTTGTCAACGAAAGGCTCCAAATAATAGACAGTAAACAGGTTGGGCTAAAATCGGTCTGGAATTAAACAAACCCGTTTCCGAAGGAGATGCAAACAATTAAATGGAAATATAAACTGAGGTTAACAGTTCATTCACATCACAGCCGAATCGATTGAAGACAAATGTCGGGAGACATCTTGTAATGCATATTGACGCTTGTGGGAAAAAGTGCAATAAATAAGTTTATGAGGAAGGCATAAAAAATTCCTCGCCTAGAAAGAAAGGATAGAAACGCATAAACAGGCAAAAGGGTAAAATATATGAATAAATAAAAAGTTGAATTTACTGCAAGTGCCTCAACCAGATTGTTTCAATTTATACACTATGTGTATGTAAGTAATGGAACAGGAAGCTCGATTGATGAACTGAGAAAGAGAAAGAGAGAGAGAGAGAGAGAGCAGGTGAGTGGCTAGGTTCATCGTTAGTCCGGTCGATAGAGGGGTCGAGATTCGCAGTATGACGACATGGTAGTGCCGAGTTTAATGACAGACAAGTGTGTGTCCCCTTGGGCGCCGAAAGCGTCAAGGCTCGACTCCCGTCAGGAGAGCTGAGATATTTAACTTGGGTCGCCGGTATGTACGGCCTGAAACATACTACTTTGAGTAGTGAAATAGTCATAGGGGTAAGTTTTCAGGTATGCGTACAACTGTGTTGTGGGTGTGTCAGCAGGAGGGAGAAGTGTTTTCGGGTCGGTGCGGATGGAGGGATGGACAAACAGGTGGCTGCTCTTCACAGTGGTACACCCTATTGACCGTGAGTGGAGTGTAACAGATGGTTCGCAGCGGCGGAAGTGAATGAGGCTGTCATATGAGATGTATTCACTATATTTCGTTTTATTTGATGAAGGACTGGTAGATGAAGTTTTCCACAATCATAAAAGTAGAGCTGGAACTTACATTTCATTTCATATAATCTTACCCTCCCAAAAGGTGTTCTCATCCAGACTGGAGTGGATTGCCGTCTCGACCTCGCCTAGGTCTTATCAGCACCCCCAGCAGGGCTCGAACCATGACGTTGTAGCGCATAATCTCGACACGCTAACCACGCTACGCCACATTGCCACGAGTGCCCTTGAGTCACAGGACAGATGTGAAATTTAAGAAAGGTCAGGCATTTTCCATATCACATTCTGTGTTGGGATTGTCGATGAACTTATATTTGCCATAACAATCGACTGCATTATATATTTTTCATTTATAAGCAGAGTTTTGAGACTTAAGCAAAATAGCGTGAATACATCCTATATAATTGATTTACTGGTAGTCTCGAAACAATACTTAT